ACCTAAAACAGCAGAGAAAGATATACAGCACATATCACTTACAGACAAACTTACAATGTGTTCTTGATCACATTAAAAAAAAGTTTTTGCTGAACTTAATTTAATTATGAACAACACCAATATGTTAGCATGGATTAGATGCAATCTTATCTGTCATAGCCTGAGAGCCCACAAGGGGGCATAGTGAGCTCAACACAGAGGATATTGATCAGAAACATGACATACCTCTCTGGCTTTTCTGAGAATTTGCTGCAGCAGAATGAGAAAATTTTCTGGGTCCCTCTTAACCAGCTCTTCTAGACTCCAGCGGTTCATACACCAGCCAGCTGCACAAACATGCATAAATATACAAGCATGAAAACCCTAATTGTGAAACTGGGACAAATGTGCGTGTTTATACCTCAAAGGAACATGATATCTAGTAAACAAGTCACCCACAGTATGCATGAAACCACTGCACAATCCGAATAACACCAAATGAGTCAAGTACACATAAAGGGCAGGAATTAATCTGAACACACATCAGACATGATAGAGCCGGTTAATTACACGATAGTCTGAGTTTTACCCTAAAATCCCTGCTGTGTAGATGTCAAAGGGTTCCCTGAATTCTGATAAAGAACATACTGTGTTGTACAATTTGAGAGCAGCAGCGTTAACAGATCATATTGGTTACATGACAGAACCGTGTGTAACCTCAAAACTTGATATTTAAGGCAGCTGTAGTTTTCCTACTAAAGATCTGCAGTAGTCGATGACTGCATTACTCAAAGGACACCTTAACTTCCTGCCCAAATGAAGGTGTCAAATAATACATTTCCTATAGAACACTCTCTGAAAACAACATCTTCTCTCTGAATCTATCAACAGTGTCACACTCTTTACACAAACGACATTATGGTGTTCATCAGGGTGTGATCTTTTGTATGTCAGTTCCCTGGTTCATAAAAACAACCAAATCGAATATACAACTAATAAAGATTCTATATAGGACCTTTCCATAGTAAATAAATAAGGCCTAATTCAACTTTATCAATATGATGGCATGTCAAAGCTAAGCATCATGTTGTGTTTGAGCAAATTAAACTTTGAAATGGCTTTTTTATTGAAAAAGTAGTGTTTTGCAGTCTACAATAAATGCAGATGTGGGTGGGCTAATGTAGATATATCCCCAATCAGCTGGCATTTACACCCACACAGTCACCGAATTATATGGGCCCATGACAAATTTATGGTATCACATTCACGATAAAGAAAAATATATTTTTTTAAAGCCTAGTCTAAAACATGCCAAATTCGTATGTATATACACTGTTTGTATTTATGTTGGTTTCATACAATTTTGAAAAACTTTCAAGAAAAGTTTAATTTTGACTTTAAATATGTTTTAACCATCAAGTAAAATCACAAAAAGGTCAATTTATATGATATTTTATCATGTTTGCGATACTACCTTGCAACAGTCATGAGGGTCTGCATGGATCCTTTCTAATCATATTTCCTGTGCGTGTTATTTCTGCATGTTGGTTGCACCTCATCACTCAATTTTAATATCTTATCCTAATGTATTTTTTTAATGTATTATAATGGAATTTCTTCCATTATAGTATCAGGAATATTTGCATAAAATTGCTTTTACTCTATGCTCTAATGCCCTCTAGTTTTACTCTAATTTTAATAAAAATTTAAAACATCATAGAAGAGGTGTATTCACTGTCACTGTATGCATGTATTGCTTTTACATATTTTTGAAAACATTAATAGATGCAGACAAAAAAAAAAAGAGTGTTGTGTCATGTATTATGTGTATTATGCATATTTAATTCTTTGTGTAAATTAAGCCCATTTCAGTGGCAGATCACTTCTAATTTCCTGTCTGCAACATAAGGTCAATTGAAAACCAATGACAAAGGAAAACCACATACAAATTGTACAAAAAAGAAGTAAAAAATTGAAATAGAAAAACAGTGATGCCAAACAAAAGCGACCCATCAGCAGCAGAGGGTCACTGGGATGGCCTTACCACTCCAGGATTGTGTCAGACATTCTGATGGCCGGAGTCCATCCAGGCATCTCTCCAAAGCGTGCTGGATCCGGTCCTCTGTGCACGAAGTGTGCTGCATCTTGACTGTAACTATAAAACAAAATAAGAACTAAAGTCATATAAAGAAAACTAAGTCCTACCAGTTTTTGAAATAGTGAAAAAAAAAGGATACAATACACACCGCCTCCTTCATCTGTTCTGTAAATACGATACTAAAAAGCATTACAGAACTCCATGCTTATATTTAAATAGAAGAATTCCAATTATATCAGTCAAGAAAAATGTTATACGTTATTATGCAGGGTTTCGCTCGGCTTCTATGCAATAACACAGTTGGTGTAACCTGAATGAAGTAGCAGCATGTGTCAATAAAATTCCAGATAATGTTATCTACATAGACAAACACACGCTCATCTCCCTTCAGGGAAGTAAACATACAGCATCCTTTGCATGTCTGTAAATAATATTGAAGTTTAGGAAAATGTTCTACCTGTTGTCAGTGAATTTCAAGAGAACTATCTGGTTTAGGGATTATTAAGGGGATGCCACAGCTGCCAACTGTGTTTTTCTTCCTGATAACATTTAAAGTTCCTGACATTTACTGTTAGAAGCATGGAATCTGCCATCTAGCAATAAACAACACCACATACTGTAGTATGTAGTCGGGGAACAAAAAAACAGGAATGATAAGCAACGTTGAACTCAATGATAATTGAGCAAACCTCATAGATAAACAGCATGTGCATTGTATCTAGCCTAATATATCACATTCATGAGAAATAGCGACGTCATTACATTAAAACTAGGCAAAAATAGAGAATTCCTCTTCAACAGACTAATTCCCCTAAATGCAAAAAACCGCATTTGGTGGAATATTTCTCCCAGCGAGTCACTGACCAATGTACGTTTGAAATGAGCAATAACTTGACTAGTTCAGCTAACGTTAAATGTTTGACGTTTGGCTGACACGAGCAGATTTTAAAATGCAGCTGTGAAAGAGATATGATAGAATCATTCAAAATATTAAGCCCTTTTTAGGTGCCGTTCACACAAAACGCATGTTTTGTATTCCAATGCGATGCTTTTCCATTGTATTTCAGTGTAAACATATTTGACACTGGCATCTCGCGTCGCTTTTTGCTCATTCCACGTCCCTGCCTCTCCAGTTTTAACGCAAAAAAATGATATGTAATGCAGTTTCTGTGTACTGCTGGTTATATTTTTCTTCAAATTAAGGTCTTTAGGCCATAAGTGTGGCTCACATTAGGCTGTGTTTTGTAGTTTAGTATCATTCTCAAAACTTCCCCGATGTCAAAACAAAAATCCCCAAAACCATGAAGCAAACATTCAGAAAGATATTTAATCATTAAATCCAAAGTTAATTTAAATTGAAAGTCATTAAATCCAAAACTCAAAACCCCAATATTATAGATGATACACTAAAGTAAAGCTTTTTGCTTCACTTAGCTTCTTGTAAACACTTGTCAACGCATACACAAAACTCATCACTCACCAAACATCACGTTGCATTAACACGCTGAGCGCGCGGCCCATTGAGCGTCATGCGTCATAAAGCGGATTTGCATAAACAGAGAAGTGCACCGCATAGTTATCTGTTGCTTGTGAAACTATTTTACTGGGAAATTTAAAGGTCTAAGTACATTTCATTATTAAGCAACAAACGAAAACGAGTCTATTTCAGATAAATAGTTATGAAATACCATCTCAATTTACTGTGTTTGATTTATTTGGCGGTTAGAAACTGTAGCCTAGCTGTTTTGTGAGTTGATGATTTCAATTAAGCTTTTATATACATGAAACTATAATAATACTATACTATAATATTTATATATAATAATTTCAATGTAAGGTTTGATAACTCCATATGCACCTTGTGATACAACTTCTGATAATTAGATATGGTCAGATAATAACATAGTAGGCTATATCTTACAGTTCTTCAATAAAAAAAAAAAATAAAAAAAAAGCAGAACAGTGTTGAAAATAGATTAAGCTGATTTCCTATCTGATGTCACGGGCTTTTTCTGATTTAATAAAACAGACAGGATGTTCTTGTTAGTTTTGTCCATGTCAGAAGTCAGAAGAAGTCAGAAAGAGCTTTATTGCCAAGTATGTTTGCACATACAAGGAATTTGTTTTAGTGTCACAAGCTTCCAGTACACGGAGACAACAACAAAACACAGATGATAAAAGTAAGATGTGAATAAAATACACATATGTATATATAAAAAAAGTATAAATATGTACAGGTGTGCTATAGATAAATAGAATATAAATAGAATAAAAATAAAGTTGTAGGGATGTACTAGGATGTAGGGTGATAAATAAGTATAAGGTTATTGCACATATTTTTATTGCACAATGGGAGAACATTTAACTGTTCATGAGGTTCATGTAAGCTCCTAAATTCAATCATTATGCAACACCAATCCAAATATTATTATTATTTTATTTTTAATTTCATTGTGGTCACAAAGTGGAATTTGCTGATGTAAACTCAAGAAAAATCATGAGTATATACAAAACACATGTAGGTCTGTCAGTCATTAAACAAGTTAAACTTGAGAAAACTCAAACTGCCAAGTTACAGCAAGTTACCAGGATGAAAAATAAAACCTAAAGCAGTTCTAATAATGGCCTCACTCTGGTTTACAGTAAGACTGTTAATGCTGGTCACTTTTTTTTCAAGCACAGCAATAGGCCTGCAAGCAAGGTGGTGGGAACAGCCTGATATTAGCCTTAATGACCTTCCAGAGCTCTATTGTAGCCTTGCCAGTTTGCCTGGAAGGAACTAATTCATCACTGAACTTATGATTGTTATTTCCATTATAAAGGCAAACAAAAAGCTGGGTTATGTCGCAAAATTGGCACAGCATTGTTTCCATTTGACTGCTATTTCATTGACAAAGCTAATTTCATAGAAAGTGGCACCTGGTGGCAACAGGTGCCAGGTGCAAATTAAATTACAACCCAGAAGTGAATGCCGATTTTTTTCTTTCTTTCTAGATTAAATGTTGTAAATCCTTTACATTTGTAAACAGTGTTTTAGATCATTCTGCAGCCCCTGGGAAAATTTGCTTAGAACCCCTGGTTAAAAACCAATGTTCTACATCAGTGGTCTGTTTAGTGGCATAATATTGGATTAAATTGGCGTAAACAAAGTGACCAGCAGCCATCAGTCAGTCAGTCAGACGCCTTTTGTTCATTTTGCAACCTCTGAAAATGTGGAAGTGACCTTGTTGACACGTAAAAGGATGTGTTCACATCCTCTTATATGAGAGGATGATTTCATCTGGGCAACACAAACACAATCCCAGCAAACTTCCTATGTGAAGCAAAGACCCATTTGAGGTGCACAGACTGTGAACAAAATCAGTGAAACGCAACTAGGACCTTTTCAGTACATTATCCTGAGTCAGCAATGCTGCATTAGAAATTTGGATCACATTTACTCTAAAAATAAATAATAGCATTACTTTAGTGAACAAAACAATTCCACATACAGTATAAAGCATCCAGACAGATGAAACAGGGACTGTACAAACACTGGACACTAAATTCCATATAAGATCAGACCTCAGCTATAAAATCTAACAGCATGCCTGCTGAGATACTCCCTTCATCTCAGCTGATTCATGTTCCCACTGTGACCCAGCATGAAGGTTCATCTCAGCTCCTTCTCCTGATCATATTTCCAACAGCCCTGTACAGGAAGGTTGCTCCCAGGCTTTGCCAAGGAAACAGGTGTTGCTTCATTGTTGTGGTGCGATCGGCCGCTATGATAGACTCCCACACCGTGAGGGAGTCGACGCTCATTGTGCGGAGTCTCTGATTGATGGGGACCAATATACCCCATGCGCCTTCTGTGAGCCCAGAGTCTTCTCATCCACATCCCTCCCTCCTATAACAATAAGGCCAAACTCCCCCTGCCATGATCGTTTTAGGAAATAACAGCAGTCGAACAATAGTGACAATATTCAACGGTAAGTGCTTCCTTTTTATATGTTGCCGCTGACACAGTGGCCCAGTTAAGCAGATACAGTAGGATGCAGGGGATCTATCACAGAGCAATATTTACCAGAACCAAATCTCCCGTCTAGGCGGAAATGAGGAACTCTATTCTTTCCTTTTAGCCTCTATTGGTACCTGTGGGAACTTTACACTCACCTCAGTTTCAGCTTATGCTGTGTAAAACCGAACTGAAGTGTAGTGTGTTATATAAAACAAGGAAACAAGCAAATCTGTTAAGCATGCATGCAGAGAAAATCATGCATGAACAGGAATTAAGGACTTTGAATGGCTTGTTTATTAGTGGTCTAAATTTGAAATATAAAAACAACATTTTTAAGAATAAAAACTATATTCTATATATAGAATATATTGTTTAGTTTTTGCTGCTTTGCACTATTTGACCCTTTCAGCTCATACAATCATTTTTATATATAATTTTTTATTGTACCGAATAATGGAAGAAAACCAAATTTAGAAGAAAGAAAATTCCAGTTTTACTCTGAACAGCCATTTATTCTGGTGACTGTTCTGTTTATTAAGTGAAAGTATGGATATCCCCATATTGTGTAATTTACAAGTGTCCACATATAGATGTAATACTGAATATATTTTGAATGTTTGCAATATTTCTGTTCTGAATCCAGTCTGTTTTAACAGAATTTCTGTGTTCTGAGTTAATTTTATCAAGAATAACTGATGCGATGCTGCCAAAAACGTCAAGCAATTGTTTCTATACTGTATTTAGCATATAAATAAGTGTGTCATTGGAATCTAAATATGTAGAATAAATAAACCACATTCTATTTTTGGAATGCCAGGTGTGATGAGCTCATAGGTAAAAAACATTGGGGAATCTGAATTTGATAGAAAAGATATGAACCCTGCTGTCATACAAACAGGAAGAGGTTTAACACAAAACAACTGTAGTGTGTCTTCCATGTCAGACACAACCAACGCCTATGGCTGATTACAAAGGAGCCACTTTCACTTCAAATTATGACTCAAAATTAACGTATTCTGAACTTAGAGGAGCTGGCTGACAAAAGCATGTATGACAGCCATTTAAACTAACACAAGTGTCATGTAAGAGTTTGTATATAATTGTTGTGCCTGAATATGACTTTTGGGAATCTAATACATTTAAATTCATTATTATAACTTTCCTACAGTCTAAGCACAAATATGTTTTGTCCAGTGACATTTAATGGGCTGACCACAGTGTTTAAAAGCAATGATACACACACTGATGACCGTCACCACTGAAACTTTCATCCAGTTTCATTTCCAGTCTCTAGTTGCATAATCTTCCAGCAGATTCAACTGGAATCCAAACTTAGCCAATGATCTGTTATTAAGTGAGGATCCTGTAATTTCACTCAGCTGAAAGTTTGTCACAAGCAATTACAACTTAAAGTTGCATCCGTTGTGTGGTGTTGCATGCTTACTTGCTTATTGATTGATTGTTTGTGTATTGCATTGTGTTGCATTGTATTACACTGAGATATTTACAAGTATGCAAAATCTATTTATCTTTCTGCTAAAATTACCCAAACCTACCATCACATGGTTTTAGCTGAACAGTAACATAATTTGATATTCCTCTCTCTTAAATTGCTTATGGACAAGCACATGAATGCCAAAAAAATTTACTTCCTTATGTATGTATTAATAGAGTTTCTGTCAGATGCTGTTTGTGCATGAAAAGAAGTATCTCAGTACGTTAAAGCTGTTCTATCACACTTGCTCCTGTCAACTATACACTGAAGGCCAGTTCTTGCAGAGTTACTATGAACTTGAACTACGAACTATTGTATGCTATGGTGGAAATGAAAACAATATATCATTTGAATATTATAGACTGTATTAAAAAGAAAACTAATTTGCAAGTAAAATGTAAAATTCATCTGCATCTGTTTGCACTTAGTGGCTTATACTCCATCCTTACTTGGAAATATGTGTCCACTGCATCAAATATTATGAATTCGCAGTGCATTGGCCTCTAACTGGATCCAAAGCATATGGCTCAGCATAGAAGGAGCATCAGCTGTATTTGTGGGATTGACTGTATTTTGCAACCAAGCACTTAGAATCTGCAGACTCTTGATAATGTTTATTTGTATATATACGTATTAAGAAAAATAATTTCTGTCATGCTATATTAGCACCCATTCATTATCTTAACGGATCTTCTGTGAGAACTAGAGCGCCTGTTAAGTCTATAAGTCTGCTGCTCGAACGTGATAAGATCTCCGAATTAGCCACTGTTTTTACATCTGACTGCTCGCCACAGAGGAAGCCTATGTGAATGGCTTGCAGTCTTCATTTAAAAGACTGCTAACACAGTCTAAGTTTCATTACAGATTACTGTCTAAAATTCTAAATCATTTAAGTAATAGAACCATGTATAATAACAGAACAGAACACCAGTGCTGTCACATAACTGAGCATATTACATGATTGCATTATTGTATTGCATACTGGTAGATAAATATCATTCAACAGATTACTGATTCAGAACAGCTGTCCCTGCATGCCTTACTGCACAAAATCAGTGAATAGTAAAGTCTCCACCTGACATCCTAAGCTATGAACATCATCTGTCATAAAACTCCATTTAAAAGGTCATGGAGCATTGGGAGTCTTCACATGTAAATATTTGACGTGGAGGAAGCAAAAAGTTTCTGATTCTGGCTAAAGCACATCATGTCCACTGACTTGGCCTTGTAATTCTGAGTTGTATTCCTTTCCTATATGAGCTGAGAATAAAATGACCATGATATAGGAATGCACCACAGGCAACACTTACCTGGAGTTCTTAGCCTCTTCCCATGATTTCTTGGCCCTTTATCAATGTGCGGGCTGAGGCGGAACCGATGTCCTTGCAGTGTAATCCAGCACTTAAGATGAAAAGAGGTGGAAATGTAAAAACATCCTTCAGCATTAGGTTCTATCAGCCTACATAGGCACTGAACAACGGCAGCAACAACAGGAGCAGTTATATCAGCACGCCTGCCGTGCTGTAGTGCTACTAAACAGGAACTCAGAGAGAGAAGGTGCAGAAGAACTCAAAGAGGAAGACATGGGCTACATGTGTTCATGAGTGGGAGGAGGTTTGACTTACACACGCAGGCTTTGTTCTTTGACTGACGTCTTAGTTTTATTGATGCTATGGATGGCAAACTGCCATGAATGGCAAGCTGTTCTTAAAAATAACAGCTTTTTGCCATTTACTGAACAATAATGTTGATATATTTCAAATGTTCACAAACATAAGAGAACCAAGATTCCATTATTAAAAACAAAATATTTTATATCGGTTTTTTTTATAACTTTTTTAAAGTTGAAATAATTTAACTAAGGTACACTTGTTAGGTACACACCATTTATTGTGTTGTTTGATATTGTTTTAAGATATTCAAACAATTAAATGACATGTGTTTTTATCAGACTTCTCTCTAGTCTAACTGCAGACTCAGCCTCTATACTCAGCATAAGATCAACTCTTAACTTCCCCAGAGGTCAAAATTTGCATTTTGTACCATAAGAGTGCCTCTCTCTGTCTGTCACTCTCTTGGTGACTTTTCGGTTTGTGACTGCTCTAAAGAAGGAACTTATCTGCTAACGCTTCCAGTCAGAGGAATCAGGACAGCGCAGGGCAGGAAGCTTACAATATATAATGGTAAATCCATAATAGCAAAAAAATAAAAAATATGACAGGTGTTTTAGCTAATAGGCGACATGCTTTGGATGAGCTTGGCTTAGTGGAAATGAAATACTGCCATCTAGTGGTTCAACCGCGTTGCAGAACAACAAACGAACCGACATAGCAAGTAGGTGTTTAGGTTTCAGTAGAGTAGTGTTGTATGAGTAATATTAAACAATGAGGGAAAGAGGGTAACATGTTAAAACTTACCGGTAAACTATCAAAACCAGTAACACGAGTTGAATATGCATTTTTGAGCTCGGACTTCCTCAAATGGAAGCCACAAATATCTTAATAGCCAACCGAAAAGTCTGTATTCGTTTGTAAACAAAATAAATAGTCTGCTCCTATATGTATCCTACATAAAATCACTTAAGGCCTGTTTGTAATAATATACAAATGTTCAGCCTAATACAAGCACGTTAGTCCGCTCTTAAATAAATAAACAAATAATCTCTTTGAAAATATAACCTTGGTTTTATTTACATTTATTTACATTCACATAGAAAATCTAATATTCAGACTTCATCTGAAACGCATTCTGACACTCATGCTATTTGCGCATGCGTCTTTCAGCACCTTGTTCAGTTAATCTCTCTCTCGAATCACCCATATAAATACAGGCGATGCTTTACTTACTGTAAGTCGCTAATGTAGGCCAGACAACCAGTGAATTTGAATGATCGTTTGATTAATTAATTTATCATTTGGTAGGCCTAGAGCTGAACATTGTTATTCCTAAAACGTTTGGAGGCCCAGTTGTAGCATTTAATGTGTCGTTGTTATAGGTGAGAAAACGCTTTATTACAAAAAAACAAAACAAAAAACAAAACAAAAAAAAAAACTCTTTATCCTCACTCAGGGTGAGAATTACTGGAAGTGGCTCGGAGGAGTCTAACTCGTCATTATGAAAAGAGTAAACTGCATAGTCTACTTAGCAGTTCTATTTCAATCAAAGGCACGTCCTATTATAAATAACAAAGTAACCATGCAGAATACAATTTTGTCAGAGCATGAGTTATCTGGCGCCAAAAGTAGGCTATCGTTCTTTATTTTCTTTTCTTTTTGTAGGTTACTCTAACAACGTAAGACCGTTCGTGTGCTTTCCACTGAAAAACTAGCCATTCTAGATGAGTAGGCTATATCAGATACATATAGACTATTGTTATTATTGTCATTGCTTTCTTTTTGTATGTAGCCTATTTGCATATCTTTGACGAAATTCGTTTTATTTGTAAATAAAAAATATAGGCCTAAAATCTTTTATATTTATATAGCCTTTAATGATTTAAACAATGGACAGCCTACATTTGATAAATATATTATATAAAATGCATGCTCTGTAAAACCAGTGTTTTTGTAGGAACTAATAACAATACTTAACTGAGCTACACTTTAAGACAAAATTGAACCCAGTAGTTGGCTAAATTTATTCAAACGTCCCTTTGTGGTGTCATCGTTCTATTAATATGTAGTATTTATGATTATTAATAATATTTATTTATATTCATAAATACATTGGGAATGGACAGCCTACATTTGATAAATATATGATATAAAATGCATGCTCTGTAAAACCAGTGTTTTTGTAGGAACTAATAACAATACTTTACTGAGCTACACTTTAAGACAAAATTGAACCCAGTAGTTGGCTAAATTTATTCAAACGTCCCTTTGTGGTGTCATCGTTCTATTAATATGTAGTATTTATGATTATTAATAATATTTATTTATATTCATAAATACATTGGGCCTAAATATGCAAAAGACCTTGGGTCAAGGTATGGGTTAGTCTGTAGTAATTATAAAAAATAAAAACAATCAAAGTTTATGGTAGGCTATGTTCACGTTTAGTTTTAAATTAATGTATTGAGAGAGAGAAAACATTTCATAAATTCCACATCCGATCTAAAAAGTGTTAAATGCGAAGACGTTAGAAGTATTAGAAAAAAAGTATTAGAAAAGTTATTTGGTTTGTTGTCGCTGTTGCCTTTAATACTGGGAGGATTAGGCTATTAAATTGGTTACTAAATAATTGGTAATTCATAACAATATAGCCTGTTAATCAAACACGTAAACCAAACTAAAGGAAGTCAAGTTTAACTTTGGATGGCTATAGATAAAATAATGAGGTACCAACCGCAAATAACTCATTCATAAAAAAAAGTTACTTTTCCACAACACAATGACCAAATAGGCCTATAATAATATTATAAATTCACATTGTCTTGCTGAAATGAGCATTATTTGCCTATTGTTGTACTCGATTTAGCCTATGTTGTTGCTAAAATAACATTAGGCTATTTTTTAAAATCTTTTTCTCTAAAGTCTCTACCCTTTATTTTATAAATTAAATAGACTACGCGACAATTAGCCTGCAGAGCGAAGATAGCATACTGAATAGGCCTATGTTTTACTAATTTTCAAATTGCGCTTCTATTAGCCTATATTCTGTTCAATCCCCGTCTGCTGGTTTTATTGATAATCTACCAGTGGATGTCGTTGTTCTCTCGAGTGTCACTGCTGGAGATGAATGAGCTCAAAACCCTGCGTAAAGATGCGTCCCGCTCTTTCTCCATAGAGTGGATACACAGAGAGAGAAGAGAGAGAGAGAGAGAGAGAGAGAGAGAGAGAGAGAGAGAGAGAGAGGCAACAACGTGAGTGTCTCCTATCTCACTAGAGCTCAAACTAACGGGATCTTCTTATATCCTTTACATGCGCAGAGATTCAAGAACCAGACAAGTGAAAGCGCGTGTCCAATACTCACGGGAAAAGAGAGCCAGCACGAACTGAGATTGTTTTGTGACTTTTCTGCTTTTGCTGAACTGTTTGACGGAGGTACAGTGACCTGTGTGGAGATTTCTCCAATTGCGATTTTCTTTAATTGCGAAAGCGTAAATATTGTCGGATCTTCCGTAGTGGTTTAGATCCGGGAGTTTGCCCATATGCTGGAGTCAGATTTAGATTCGCATTAGTTTGTTATTTGGCACCGGTTTGATCGCGGTGTCATATCGGCTGTGGATTGATCCCGCTCAGACTGTCAACTGATTTTCCATCTGCAAACAGTGAAAGCGTCTTCTCATTAGGACACGGCTGTGTTTCAGCACAGGAGAGACTAAGGAAGGCGCATGATGATGTTGAGGGTCTCGGATGCTTTGGTCATTTTGGTGACTCTCTACTGTGTGGTCAAAGGGACTGTCGGCGGATACGGCATGAGCATGTTCGCCGCTCAGACCTCTCCACCGGATCCGTGCTACGACGAGAACGGTCACCCCACAAGATGCATCCCCGATTTCGTCAACGCGGCGTTCGGGAAGGAAGTGCGCGCGTCCAGCACCTGCGGCAAAACACCGAGTCGGTACTGTGTGGTGACTGAGAAAGGGGATGAAAGGCACAGAAACTGCCACACGTGCGACGCGTCGGACCCAAAGAAATATCACCCACCTGCTTACCTAACCGACCTGAACAATCCTCACAACCTCACCTGCTGGCAGTCGGACAATTACATCCAGTATCCTCAAAACGTCACTTTAACATTGTCCCTGGGCAAGAAATTCGAGGTGACCTACGTGAGTTTGCAGTTCTGCACACCGCGACCAGAGTCCATGGCTATCTTTAAATCGATGGACTACGGAAAGTCCTGGGTGCCTTTCCAGTACTACTCGACCCAGTGTAGAAAGATGTACAACAAGCCCAGCAAAGCCACGATCACTAAGCAAAACGAGCAAGAGGCCATCTGCACAGATTCTCACACCGACATGCACCCTCTCTCCGGCGGGTTGATCGCGTTCAGCACCCTGGACGGGCGACCCTCCGCGCACGATTTTGACAATTCACCCGTACTTCAGGACTGGGTGACCGCCACAGACATTAAGGTGACTTTCAGCCGACTGCACACTTTCGGAGACGAAAATGAGGATGACTCGGAGCTGGTTGATCGCGTTCAGCACCCCGGACGGGCGACCCTCCGCGCACGACTTTGACAATTCACCCGTACTTCAGGACTGGGTGACCGCCACAGACATTAAGGTGACTTTCAGCCGACTGCACACTTTCGGAGACGAAAATGAGGATGACTCGGAGCTGGCCAGAGATTCCTATTTTTACGCCGTGTCAGACCTGCAGGTCGGAGGCAGATGTAAGTGTAATGGACACGCGTCACGGTGCGTCAAAGACCGGGATGGAAACCTGGTGTGCGAGTGCAAGCACAATACAGCCGGACCAGAGTGTGACAGATGCAAACCTTTTCACTATGACCGACCCTGGCAGCGCGCAACCGCCAGAGAAGCCAACGAATGTGTCGGTAGGTCCAACTTTTTATTTCTGCGTCATTTTTGGAAAGCGCGAAGCCTAAGGCGAGAACACATCACCAAAGACATATCGTTGATTTTTCGTCGCACGTACAATTTGTTTGAGATGAGTTAGAAACCAGCCATGACTGCCAAGTAAAAAGTGCGGGTGTTTTCTTTTTAAATGCAAGCGTTTCGCTTCTAGTGAAGGGAACTTTCAGGACCATTACAGTACAACAATATAAGTGACAGATTTATGGAGAATTCACTAAATGATTTGGGGAAAATAAAAAATAAAAAACTAATTTTTTAAAACTTGAAATAATGGTTTAAAGGTAAGCAGCAAGTAGATTAGTGCTGTCAAAGTTTAACAAATAGAATTTATTACGATTTATAACTATATGCAACAGCCGATTTTTTACCAATCTCGGCATCGAACAGTTTGAATAAATGTCTTAGGAACATAATTAATGAATACATAGCTTCACTTTAAGGTCTGTTTAGCAAACGGTTTTATGCATTATTAACTAAAAGTTTACGTCAAAAATAAAACATTAATATGGAAGTTTAAGAAACCTAGGCTCGGCTTACATGTTTACTGTACGATTCATTTTAACAAAATGCGCTAAAATATATTTGAACAAAAAATGTGTATTCGTTTGTCCAATACAGCTTGCTAAGATGCGTGTTAATGTTTATTTTATAAGATAGAAAGATAAGAAAGATATGTCTTTACTGTTTAAATTGTGTTTTTTTTTTATTACTATTCATAGTGATTATTATTAGTTTAGGGCAACAATATTAGGATATATTCCGCATAATCACGTATAAATGTAAAAAAAAAAAATCGGAAAAAGTGAAAAGGTGTCTTTAGAGACTGAAGCGAGAAAGACAAACAGCTTATATATTTTGTCGTCTAAAGAGCAATGTGATAAAAGTCTGCAAACGAGCCGCCTCGTGTTTTGGCCCGTGCACTCAATTTTATCACTGTCATTAAAATACATTTTCAGACATATTCATTGCTTTATTTCTTATTATTATTATTATTACTTTTCTTTATTACTTATACTTTATTTATTCTCGTTATACTACAAACAAAATACAAATAAAAACTAAAATGATCGAATTAAGTTATATCAGACAGAGCTGGTAAGATTGCCAAATAGGCTATATAAATATTTGGCAATCTTACCAGCTCTGTCTGATATAACTTAATTCGATCATTTTAGTTTTTATTTGTATTTTACATACTATTATCGTTGTTATTATTATAATTATTTATAATATTATTTATAAAATGAGTAATAATAAAAATACATTTTACATACACAGATATTTGAAACACAGTATCACTACATGACAAACTTAGCTGGAGGAACATGAATATTTAGTCTATTGCTTATGCCTAAAGTAAAGAAATAAAACCCATGACGCTTAATTGAATGGATGAGGGACCTAATTCATAAATGAAATGAAATTTTGTCATAATTTGCACTGAATTGTCTGGCTGCTCTTAAGATGGCCCAAACCATGCTGAAGCACTCTTAAAGCAGACTGTTTATCAGCAGTCGGATACATAATATAACTCTCTGGGTTATTAAAAGTGCTTATGGGTGCAGCTGATGCATATAATTCCTGTTGATTAAAACAGTCCTTAAAATAAAATAACATTAACACTGACAATGCCCGTTGTGTATTTCTGTGATATTAAACAGAATATCTGTAATAAAAAAGCATCTGAAAAAGTCTGCATCCAAAAACGTGAAAAAGAATTATGATATTTTAACGTGCTATGCATCTGTTTATTGAGTCAGTTCAGTTCAATAGCAGAAAGACTTAAGCAGTGACTGTGCACTGTCATTTGGACATGCAAATAATGTCTGGCTGTGCATAAACAAGTCTGAATCATAGCTATAATGAAAAGAGCCTGATAGTCATCATCTGTCATCAATCACACATTTTGTAGCTAATTTTGCACCTGCCCAGTTAGTTTTCAATGCCTGTTTTAACTCCTCTTAGAAAAGAAGAGCTTGTTCTTCTTCTCCTCTCTCTGACTGAGCCCAACATGTATCTGTTCGCTGGAAATGTAAACAAACCAGTTGAGACACCACTGTCGCACAGCAGAAATGAATTGCTCCCCTGTATCCTTGACACTTTATTTTTATCAGGGCCTGCATGTGTGAGTCTTGCGTGGGGCACAAAAGATCGTCACTCTGAGCATCCATCTTGCTGTCAGCGAGCCAACGCTTTTGCCGAACATTCCTCGGCTGTGTTTTTCCTGAGCGCAGTGCCATCAGATCCAGTGCCGAAATGTAAAGAAAGAGCAAGAGAATGAAAAGAGAGGAGTGAAGGGGTGGGCAGCGTTAAAGCAAACAGAGCTTAAACAAGAGAAGAAAGAGCCCTGTGACACCTCTGAGCCAGGGCAGGACCCAAGGGAAAACGGTTGTGTGTGTGTGAGGGCCAAATGCAATCAAACACCTACAGAACACTAAGGCAACCTCTCATTCATAACCCAAGCTTAAATATGGAAATGTATGATGTAAATGATCTGACAGAGGGTTTGGTCCTCTTTCAGCAGTAATGTATGTAGGAGAAACATTCCAGCACGCTGGGGAGTATTTCAGTGCAATTGTCTTTGTTGGTCCTAATATGTGTTCATGTACTAGACCGAATTCTTACTGAAAGGAAATTTCACCAAAGCGCTTGAGTTGAACTGGGGGATGCTGTGCTATGAATTTCACTTACTAAATATAACAAGAATACATATAGGAGAGATGGATTTGAAACAGAGATAATAAGGGAGGTTTTAAAGTGAGTGAATCATAGTGTGAGAGAGAGTGTTTAATAGATAGTGATCAATAAGCGGGACTGCAAAGAGACCTAGGTTTCACTTGAACTGCACTTAACTGATTGGATCCTTGAGTGGAAAAGGACCCCTATAAACCCCTGAGTGCCCTGTTAATGTGGCCTTACGATATTGATCAGCTTATGCCATTGAGAGGCATGCTTTTTTAATGCATTGAGCCACAGTCTGAAGCCTGTCAAGAATACAAAGTGATGAGAGGAAGGCCATCCGAATGAAATGGGTATGTTACTCCGTACTTGGGGGAAAAATAATTTAAATCATTGCATTACATAAAAATCCTTTTAAAGTCAAGTCACAGTTTCTTGTAGCACTTTATACATTACAGATTGTTTCAAAGCAACTTCACAGTAATAAACAGGAAAATAACTGTGTTAATGTTGTAAATATTGTTCATCAGTTATGAAACAACTTCAATTTCAGCTGTTAAGCATATCTATAAAAGACACTAGCGTCATTATTCAGCTCAGTCAGTTCAGCTTGGCTTGTCCAGCATATACACTTTAATTGGACTACAATTTGCCTTTCCAATGTACACCTGGTGTGAAAAACAGACAGTGTGTATTTAGTCCTTCAATTATGCTATTACGCATTGTGTCATTTATACTTGTATAGAGTGTACAGTAACTCAGATACGCAATAACCTGCTGTAGCTTGATTATAACTGTGCATGTAAATATACTTATAAAAGAGGATTTACTTACAAGCTTCGCTGGAGCAGACAAGATGAGGCAGTAAAATGTGAACGTTTTAGTAAAGAGAAGGAAATGTTTAAGAGCAATGTAATCTTGATGACAGAAGGATGTGTTGAATCTCAGACTGTGGTTTTAGATGAATCAGGGATGTTTCTCTGTCCTCTATTGTTGGAAGTAAAACAAATCGCTGTCAGAATCCAAATCGCTTCTCTTGTATTTCCCGCATGTACTTGTTTCTCTGTCACAAAGTTACATTTAACTCCCTAACATCCCTACAACTTGCCAAACCACAATATGACTCTGCCAGTTTGAATATATTGTCTCACATAGTTACTGCATGATCTCCTTGAACATTAAATGCACACTTGGAAGTGTTTTAGAGCTCTCTTGGGCCTGAATCTGAAATTCTTGCCTGGCAGTGCAGGTCGATCGATATTCTGAAGACATGAATTAGGTGACCTCCATTGGGGTAATCTCCCAGGACACGTTATTCACATTTGAGAAGAAAATGAAGTACTGCCCGTTTGCTCTTATAAAATGTAAATATGGAAATGTTCCTTCAGAAACTGAAATTCTGCCATCATTTACTCACCCTCATGTTGTCTCTAACTATGATTTTCTTTTTTCTGCAGAACAAAAAAGAAGATATTTGAAGAATGTTTCAGTTGTTTTGCCCATACAATAAAAGTCAGTGAAGTTTCAAGTTTTAAAATTGTCATAAAGTTAGTGTAAGATTAATCCATGCTCCAGTGGTTTAATACGATCAATTTCTATGCTGAACAGACTGAAACATAAAGGGTTAGTTCACCTAAAAGAGAAGGTTCTGAAACATTGACACTTCATAAAGTCACTGTAAAACTTATTCATGTGTATTGAGTGGTTTAATCCAAGTCTTCTGAAAAGACATGATCGCTTTATATGATGAACAGATTTAACTGAACTTTTATTCACATACTGATCATCGCATATACATATGGTAAACGGAAGCCTAAACTTGTGTTTTGAAAATGAACGAATTACGAGTTTGGAATGACATGAGGTAGAGTAAATGACAGGATTTTTATTTTTGGGTGAACTATCCATTTAAGTAGTGATCCATTCTCAAATCAGATCAAATACTTAATCAACTCATGTTTACTCATACCATCATATCATACTCATATAAATATGGCAACACATCAGTTATATCAAACATCAATTGGTGCTTGTGTCATGACGTTACGTCAGGTGACAGGGAAGAACACATTGCCATTTGATTTGGACTCAGACATGGATTAAACCATTGGAGCTGTATGGTGCTTAAAGGTGTGCACCCCATTGACTTTCATTGTATGGACAAAAACAGCTGAAAATTTTTTCAAATATTTTTTTTTTCTTCACGTTTGTATTTAGCAGAGAAAATCATACAGGTTACATACTGTACAACAAATGTAAATAGAAGTTTAATTTTTGGGTG